TTTCTTTTTTTTTTTTTTTTTTTTTTTTTTTTTTCAATATCTTTTTTTTTTTTTTTTTTTTTTTTTTTTTTTTTTTTTCGTACGCAGGGGGGGGGGTAGAGTTCCAATCCTTTTAACGGATGTCCCGAAGGACACACAGACAAATTGCAGATCTAAAAATACTTTGAAAGAAACAGCTCTACTCCTCGGTGGTGTGACGGTGGGAGGGTACCGATTCTATCGATTCGAATCGATGAGGATCTGGGATTGGTGGACGAAATTATGGAACACGTGTAGAATGTCGTCCCATCGCACGGCTACCATGTGGGCCCGTGGCACCAGGGAAATGGACATCGTCAGCACCTCCTTTTTTTTATCTTTTCGGTCAGCAGATTTCCCACGCGCTTTTTGACTTTCTCTTTTTTGTCTTTTTGACTTTTTTGTTTGTTGGGTCTTTTACAAGTTGGGACCAGATTCTCGTCGATATGTGCGTGTCATGCTTCCTCTCCTCGCGCAGGGACCATGCTAAGCCCCTCGCCACACCACTGTCGACACGAAAACAGATGCAGGAATGCATCTGCCGCACAAAGTGGTAAGGTGCATCCATTGCTACTCATAGGTAACTGATGCATCTTGCCATCCTCCGCGGGAAGATGCATTCGATCGTTTTTCATTTCGACAGTGGTGGGGCGAGGCCCTAATTAATCTCTTCTCTATATCCATGTGACACTCCGTTTTTTTTTCAATTCTTTTGTGCCCTTTTCTTTTTTTTTTTTTTTTTAACGGAACAATGTGTTTATAAAAAGAGAGGGAGGTTTGTTTGTTTGTTTGTTTGTTTGTTTTGAGAGGGAGGGTTCCACGTTTCTTTGACAATTCCGAAAATGGTTCAGGCTATGAGCATACTCACATTGCGAGTTTTTGACATATTTCTGGATGGATTTGCGGCCAGATACATCCACGTATAGCCGTGAATGCGGTCAGATACCTTTGAGATACTGCTGGTGTGAGTTCGTACTTTTTTTTTGTTATCTTTGGTTCTTAAGAGCACGCCCTATTTCTGTTCACTTTTTCTCTCTTTCTTTCTTCTTCCCTCTGTTTCTCTTTCTCTGGTACTATCGAGTAATTTATTTATATGCTTTTACCAAAAAAAACGAGAAAAACGAAATGACTGTTAATTCGGCCCTCGGTCTCCTGAGATTGACCGACAAGATATGGCTGAACAGAAAAGGACAGGAACAAAAAGAAACATATAATACTGTAAAAAACGAAAAAGTCCAGTCAAAAAACAATTACATAGTAGTTGTGCAGCTCATTATAAACCTCATCAGAAAGGCACACACACACCACAAAAGAAAAACAGCGAAACGAGGAGCAAGCAGGACAAAGGAGGAGAAAAACGGCGGGAAACTAAAACGAGGGAGGGGAGGGAAAGAGTGAGTGAGTGAGTGAGTGAGGGAGGGAGGGAGGGGGGGAGGGTGGGGGGGAGGGAGGGAGGAAGGGAGAGGGACAGTACAAGTACGGCCTCGTTCCACCACTCGTCATTTGTGCCAAAAAGAACGAAATCTTCGGTTTTGTAGAACATGTAAAGATATGGTGTTTAAAAAAAAAAAAAAAAAAAAAAAAAGATACGCCGCCATGACTGGCCAAGATGAATGCACAAAAAAAAAAAAACGCCCCCATGATTTCTTTGTCCTTTGTGGGTGTGGTGAGTGGTGGGTGTAAAAAAAAAAAAAAAAAAAAAGGCCTGCCCCGCTAGCAGACACAACACTTTGCGTACCAGGAATGAGGGTTACCGTAGACGTAGTAGGATTTAGTGTTGTCGTCACCCTTACTTTGATGATTAATGTGGCCGGCATGTGTTTCTCGACGTCGCCGTAGGTCAGAGTGGTGGCGGGCATCAGCTCCATTTTTTGCGCGGGAAGTCCTTCCCAATCATTACCCAATCCATCGATCGTCACCCTTCCCGCCACAAATGGCGCGTTCACTACCGTCATGATGTCAGGATTACATTCTGAAGGGCCCAAATGAAAACGGTGCTGAGCAGTATTACCCTCCACGAAAAGAACAACAACACTCAACTCGCTGGCCAGCATATCAACAACAACCGCCATCGCCAGAACCATACACACAACCATCCTTCCCAATCTCTCCCTTCCCAGCCTTTGCGCAACCATTGCGCCCCCTACTCCGCTCCAGCTTCTTGACAAACACAACCCACCTTTCTCTCTCTCTCTCTCTCTCTCTCTCTGTCTCTCTCTCTCTCTCTCTCTCACACACACACACACACACACACACACATAGGCGCGAGTGTGTATGTGTCACTGTGTCAGTGCGTTCACGATTAGCTCTCGCGGGGAGATCTCGAGGATCACATCTAAATCTAAAGCCTGCTTTCTGATAAATCAGGTCGTGCGCGGTCTTTACCCGAAGTGAACGTCCGGTCCTTATAGCCGTATTTGGTCGACCATCCCGTCTGGATTCTCAGCAATAACGACCGCCCGTTCCATTGGGGGTGACGGCACGGTGACCGGCATTCGATTCGGGCGCGCACTCGTCAAGGAGCAGCTGTCCCTTTTACTGTTTTCTCCCCCTTTTTGTTTCTCGCACTGGTCAAGGAGCAGCTGTCCCTCTCGGTTTTCTCTTCTTTTTTTTTTTGGTTTCTCTGGAAAACTGTTTGAACTCGTCGCCCCAACAGTTCAAATTTACGGTTGTCTCCCGCCTTCGCATCTCTCCTTTTATCAGCGCCTGCACTGCATGCAGGCAGATGGCGCTGGCACCCGCCAAACCAACCGCTGACCCAATCCATGGGCCTCGCTCCATTAGTCGCGCATGAACAAAAGACAAAAATCATGGCGGTGTATCTTTACGTGTTCTAGGGAAAGATTCACTCTCGTTTTGCACATTGTGAGAGTAGTAGAGCGACGCCGATGTGGCTCGATGGATGGGGCGCACATGTGTAAAAACCATTTCTTCCGGGCCCGATTCCGGTTCCGGCCCGACTGCTCAAGGCTAGATACGAGTTCGGCCCGGGGCGAGGTCCCACTACCGGTAGCAAAGAGGCGGAGTATGCACCTGAACCAATCGCGATTTTCGGTACCTCTCCACAAACACGTCCAGATTCAGGCGCCAAATCCAAGCCTCTTTGCGAGGTAGTGGGACCAGGCCACTGGGTGCAGAAACGGAGAAAAGACCATCACTGCCGTTGTGCGCGAGATGTCAACCTCGGGGCTACCGGTAGGTCCCACTTACACGACTTAATCGACATTGACCGTAGATTGCAATGCAAACATAACGGCCAGAATCTCTTAATCCGTGCAAGTGGGACCTTGCCCCGGGCTGTAATCAAGGAGGACTACTACTGCTTCCCCCAAACACAACGCACGGTGGTAACGAATGTACACAAGCCGTGTTTCCTGTCCGATGCAGCCAAATCAGGGTGCGTTGTGTTCGGGGGAAGACCTGTGCGTCCTCTCTGCTCGGTCTACCACGGTTCTTGGCCCTGCGCACGTTTTCGAAAGAATCTGGAAATGTAACTAAGGGTCCCGCCGCACGGCACTTGGTAAGGCACAGAAGTTGCATTCAGGAGGTCGTGGGTTCAATCCCCACTGGCCTCACGTACGTGCATGGGCAAGCTTGGTGTTCTACCAGCTAGAGATAACCCGTTGGCCCCCCAAGCCAGCGTTGGCGTTGGCAACCCACCAGGAGCAGGTCCAGCGGTTGGTTTAGGCTCATCTCCACTATTTCCACGATCAGGCAACCTCGGGACCTTTTCTTCTTTTTCACAGTCTTTGATTATTATCATCTGCGGTTGGAGTTACTTTCGATCCTACTGGTTTTTCAGTTTCTAAGATCTACGGCGTGAGCATCTATGTACTCAAGATCTTCGACCACTACAGAGGGACCAGTGGGACTCACCCGGCAGGAAGTAGTCCCTCGGCAGCCCGGCCTCCGCTGCAACTGGCGCAGGACCAGTCACGGCAGTCTGTGCCAATTCGTGCTGCGTACTTTCTGGAGTCCTTCCACCCGCTGCCGCACCCATCGCATATGCAAATCTGCACGTCAAATCAAGACGGTCAGCCAGTCACTTGGAGGACAGGTCGTTTTCGTCGCCTATTCTGGCGAAGCGGCAACTGCACTTGTCACCATTCCCTGACTGAATACTTGCACCACTCCACTTTCCTTGTCTACCCGCTCAGGTTCTCAGCCGCCGGTTTTACCCGGTAACTCTAGCAGAACCGGTCCGAGTCTGGTCCACTGCTTTGCAGTCCCCCGCAACCGATATATCCCCCGCAACCGATATATTACCGGTAAGCCTTCCTGAACCTCCTACCATGAACGGCGGAGGCACATCCGGCAGTTCCCCGCTCTGTGCTCTGGCCCCGTCTCCACCGCGTCACCTGTCCTCTTCCTCCTCCCCTCCGCCGCGCCGCTCATCTTCTTCTCCCTCCCATATTCCTTCTCGCTCTTCCCCTCCCTCCTCCAGACCAGTATCTCCCTCCTTCTCCTATCATTCACTCTCGCCTGAACAGCCACCACTCTTTGACCCATTTCTCAAGAACCACTTCCCGGCCCACCTCATGCTGCAGGCGTCATCGCCTGCTCCATCAAACCTTCTTCTCCAATTATTTTCCTCCCTCATTGATTTCCCTTCCCCTCGGGCCTCACCCCCAATAGCGACCGACCCGGTGTTGGAAAGAATCTTTGTGATCGACCCTCCCACCACGTCGCTTCTACCTCTTCATCTTTTCTCTCTACCTCTACTCATCCAACCTTCTTTCATCCAATTTCAGCAATCAAAGGTCTTATCAAAGTTTGGCGCGCTTCTACATGCAGAGGACATCGAGCGTTTCTGCATCGACGCCGCCAAATTCAGGTTTCAACACGGGGACAGGTCATTCTGCATCATCAAACGCAAGTGTGCAGCCGAACTACTCTCCTACTCGCTCTTCTCCACTATCCTCTTCAAACTCATTTTCGTCGATTCAAGGCCACTCTTCACGCTCTCTCCAAGAGAGCCGCTCAGAGCACGACTGGACTTAGCGGAGTTTCAGCAGACATGTGCGAGTGATATTGCAGCTGACTTCTATTGCTTTGGAATGTGTATAGCCTGCATGAATGATCGATCGGCTTCCTCGTGGGTAAAAAAGGGGCCATTCACTTTGGCGGACAATCTTCCAGGGCTAGCGTCTTCACCATTTCTTGCTTTCCCAATCGCCACACACTTCAACTTGAAGGATTTCTTCACTGCTCTGGGGGAGGGAGCAATCAAGTCTCTTCATATCGAGGAACTCGCAGATTGGGGGTCGGGCCCCTGATTTCGATTCATCAGGAAGGAAGCTCTCGGCATCCTTCCCGATTACGCCCATCACCCGATCCTTCCCTTTGACCCCTCTCCTCTCTTTACTCCTGATTATCCCCGTTCCTTCTTCCGCTCCACTAAGGGTAGAAGGAAGTGTGTGAGCTTCAGAGCCAGTGCTCCTCGAAATGCCGAGGAAAGCAGCCAGACCTCACCCACAGTCACTTCCCAAGAAAAGGAAATCCGGCAGGATTGAACCGGAAGAATCTTCTTCTTCTGACACCCCTTCTCCCTCCCAGCCCCTCCCTCTTCAACCCCTTTTTCTGGTAACAAAACCACCCTCCCCTATCGCCCAACCCCCCCCCATCCAAATCACTACCCCTCCGCCACCTAAAACTCCTAGGCAAAGACGTAAACCAAGTGTATGTAGAAACTTAGATCTAGTGATTTTTGCATCCCTCTTCATCCTTTTTCTTCTCCACCTTTTCACCATATTTCTTCTTCTTCCTGAATCCCCCCACCATCTCCGTCTCCCTCAATGTAAAACATTTTAATCTATGAATTGCCAGCAGTTTTGAAGTTCATTGATCACTTGGACTCTGTAATTAGACCAAATTAATCCTGGATTTTCATTCTGTTGCTAGCTCGATCTCTGGGATGGAGCGATTCCATTAGTCTGTTACTCTAATTAGCATGGATGTCAAAAAAAAAAAAAAAAAAAAAAAAAAGGAAAAAATACGAATGAGGGTTTATTACTGTACCTATACGCGCAATATGAGCTCGCCACAATACAATTCAAATGAATAGTACCTCTTAAGGTCATTGTCATAACTAAATGAGCAACATGAAAATTGTTTATAATGGATCATCTAGCCAGCCGAATGGATGCTGAATACTCATTCCGACATTTAAAAAAAAAAAAAAAAACATCCTGCCCTGACTCTCTTAGTCGTATCTTCTTATGCTACTAAATTGAGGAAGTGATCAAGGAGTCTCAAAAAAAAAAAAAAAAAAAAAAAAAAAAAAAAAAAAAAAAAAAAAAAAAAAAAAAAAAGGGAACGACGGTGAAGAAGTAATTTTTCAACTCGTTGGAACATTATTTTCTCACCACCACTCTTCCTGTTTGTAAGTTCGACTGTTCTGTATCTGTCATAAAGGGAAGAATCAACCAATATTTAAGGTGACTATCTCAGCAAATGCATATCCTTGTTACTCTTATCTTTGCATTCCAAAAAAAAAAAAAAAAAAACAGAACAACGATGCTCTAAAACTAGACAAGCACCACCTTTCGAACCTGAATAATCGGTTTTACTATAACCATCCCTCTGTTTTTGAATACTTCGCCGTGATTGTACAAAATTTTTCTATTTGCAAACATTCTAGCTAATTGCTTTTTCAAATCGCTTTCGTTCCTAAGATCAAGACGCCACTTCCGCAGTTAGCTACATCTATCTCTTTCTCGAAATATTATTCTCTAGGTTATTTTTCCTCTTCTATTGCTAGGCCGTTTTTGTTTCAGATTCGAAATCATTCTCTGCAAAGCCTGTCTCTCAGCCCAACTTTCCACCTCTTCAACCAACTACAAGTTTCGCCACCAGAAGAAAACCTTGGAATTATTTTAATTAAAAAAATAAATAAAAAAAATAGGGGGAAGAAAATCCTTTATAAACATATGTATTTGATTATCCTCTTGTATGATGGAAATACTATATATTACTCAAAACGGTGTGTACTATCTGAGGGCATAAAGGGGAAGGGGGGGGGGGGGGGGTTGGGAAGGGAAAGGAATAAGAAAGGGTACTAACCTGACTGCGCTCATCAAACTCCCCTCCATCCCTCACAATTTTTACCATCCTCTCTTCCCATTCACGGATCACTCCCAAAATTGCTCTTGTTATTCCCAGCTACACCAGTCCAATCAACCCTCCCCGTCACCTCACCTCCTGTTTTGCATGCAAGTCACTAGCTAAAAATTCTACCAAAAAAAAAAAAAAAAAAAGGGAATTCCCCTTTTTGCAGAAGTTGATGCAGATCACAAGGCTC